ACGCGTCTGGCTTCGCGACCCACCGCCAAGAGTCATGCGGTCTAGACTCTCGACATAACAGGCCCTTTTCGTGGCTTCGCATGGCAAAGCTCGATGTGATGATTGACGTGGAGCCAGGAGCGTGGGCAGCGACAGAATCACCAATGATGTTAAGATTTGTCGCAATAAAGTTGAACGCCAACGCCGCCACCTGCGCTAGTGCTTCCAGACGCAGGGGCAACTCTGCATGCATTTTTGCTTTTTCTCGCTGAGCTTTGTCCAGTCCACACAGCCCTGCGAACGCCATTCCAACTTCAGTGCTTCACCATCCAGATGCAGAAGCAGTGAGCATCATTGGACTGCTGGAGTACTGCTGAAGCTCTTCGTCTGAGTCTGACCGTACAATTACAGCTGTCACTAAGCTCTCCTCGCGCCGCTCCTGGGCTCTAGCGAAATACCCACCCTCGTTCGATCAAGATATCGATTTATTATTTGTTATTGCCATTACTTTTCTTTTGGTCATATTCAAGCGAAGTAATTTGCGTCGTAGCCGCCGAGAACGATCAATCGGCAGCACACTCTCGGCGTCTGCATGGCTCACTTTCTATTTTTCCCCTGCTGCGTTTTATCGAGTCGTTCCTCGTTGCTGTGATGAAGGAATAACTCGCGCCGCAGAAATGCACAGCTGCATGTATCCACTGCTAATCAAATGGCTTTCATAGTTGTAAGAAGCTGGGATGCAAGATCTGTTCCAAGTTCAGAATGGAAAATTGGATGACAGAACGTCAGTTGTACCCCTAGTTGTGGTGCTTTGCGGCTCTGTAGATCTAGATCTGGAAAAGCGCAGATCCTTATCAGATTTCGAAATCAGTACCATAGTCGTACAACAACAACATCTCCACTGCTTGAATCATTCGCAGCCATTGTAAAGAAACCTGTCTCGGCAGGTGGGTCTATTGATATTTATAATTTGGCCTAATTCTCGGCAGGGAGACAGACATGTTCTTGGGCTTTTACCAGGAAATGGTTCTCGAATCCCTTTCCTGGAGAGCACTAACGCCAACAAGCTTCTGCCACGCCTGGTCCAGCGCCGTGGCTGATCAATGTCTTGACTAGCTTGAACATAAAAAAGTAGGTTAGCTTGATTGGCCACGCGTGTCAGAATCAGTAGAGCTGTTTCTTGACAAGGGGCTAACTTCAATATTCCATAAACATCTCGCGATGCCTGACTTTGCGCTTCCTTTCTTTCCCTAGGTCACTCGTTCAACCTCGATATAGCTAATATCTTTCTTTCGCTACCCCTTTGGGGCCTTTATACAGTCACTCGCTCATTATGATATCGTCATATTTTCGTTCGCTTTTTCTTTTGGGATTGTCAGTTGGTAATGTTTTGGCTATAGTTTCTCCAGACTATTCTTGCGGTGGTGTCAACGGATATACATGCCCCGACGCGGCCCCTTGTTGTTCTCAGTAAGTTCCTCATCTGGGTTCTCTATTCACAGTGGTCATGCGACTGCTGGCAGATTGCATGATTCGTCTATTTGCATCCTGCCTGGCAGTGACTTGACTACTGTACTATCAAAACACAAGGACTCAACTAACAACTTTTAGATGGGGATGGTGCGGTGCAACTAGCGATTTCTGCGGAGTGGGATGCCAATCAGGATTCGGAACGTGTACGAATACAAGCCCAATACCGACGCCGACGCCTGGAACTATCATATCTACGAACGCAAAGTGTGGCACGGCCAATGGTGGAACTACTTGCCCGTACGGCAGCTGTTGCTCATCTTTCGGATACTGTGGTACTGGATCACCCGTAGCATCAGATTCTTACTGCGGTACGGGATGTCAGACTGGCTTCACTCAGGGACAATGTGCTGCTCAACAAGCGTCATCGAGCTCTGCTAAACTTTCATCATCGTCTAGCGTCAAAGCCAGTTCGTCATCGATCAAGCTGTCGAGTTCCTCGTCAGTGAAGGTGTCAAGCTCTTCTTCAGTCAAACCGTCGAGTTCATCTTCCGTCAAATTGTCAAGTTCATCTTCAGTAAAACCATCAAGCTCTTCTTCAGCTAAGCCGTCGAGCTCTTCTTCCGTCAAACCCTCAAGTTCTTCTTCCGTCAAACCGTCGAGCACCTCGTCTGTGAAGCCCTCAAGTTCATCTTCAGTCAAGCAGTCGAGTTCTTCGTCCGTCAAGCCATCGAGCTCTTCTTCTGTCAAGCCATCGAGTTCTTCTTCCGTCAAGCCATCGAGCTCTTCTTCCGTCAAGCCATCGAGCTCTTCTTCCGTCAAGCCATCGAGCTCTTCTTCCGTCAAGCCATCGAGCACCTCGTCGGTGAAGGCATCAAGTTCTTCCTCGTCAGTTAAGCCATCAACTTCTTCGTCGGTCAAGCCGTCCAGCTCTTCGTCTACCAAGGCCTCCAGCTCTTCGTCTACCAAGGCCTCCAGCTCCTCGTCTACCAAGGCCTCCAGTTCTGCCGCGTCATCTTTGATTTCCAGCTCTTCGACCAAGGCATCATCGTCTTCCAGCGTTCTGACTTCTTCCAGTGCCGTTACGAGCAGTTCCTCAATCGCTCCCTCCAGCAGTACTGCTTCGTCGATCATCTCATCGAGCTCCGCAATTAGCTCATCCGATATCCCATCAAGCTCTGTGACAAGCTCAGCGACACCTTCAAGCTCAGATGTCAGCTCTTCCACCTTGAGCTCAACAGCTTCTTCCAGTTCCGATGTCAGCTCTTCTGTAACGAGCTCGACAGTTTCATCCACAGTTTCATCAAGCTCCCAGATTACCTCTTCGGCAACCAGTTCCGACATTAGCAGTTCTGCCATTCCAAGCAGTTCTGACATAAGCTCTTCTGCTTCTAGCTCGGTAGTTCCATCAAGCTCTGATATCAGCTCCTCGGCCACTAGTTCCATAATTTCATCAAGCTCCGATGTCAGCAGTTCTGTCACTTCCAGCAGCTCCGATGTTAGTTCTTCCGCCACGAGCTCGGCAGTTCCCTCCAGCTCCGATGTCAGCTCTACGGTCTCTAGCTCGGCCATCGCATCGAGCAGTTCCGATGTCAGCTCTTCCGCTACGAGCTCAGCAGTCTCTTCAAGCTCCGATATTAGCTCTTCAGTAACAAGTTCTACGGTTCCAAGCAGTAGCAGTACCGTATCCAGCAGCTCGGATATCAGCAGTTCTTCGAGTGTCTCCTCTTCCGCATCCTCATCAGATGTCTCTAGCTCAGCATCTTCTTCTGATATCTCCAGCTCAGTGAGCAGCACAGCAACCATAAGCAGCTCTGTCACGTCCTCAGATGTGTCTAGCTCAGTCACGAGCTCTGCCACAAGCTCGGCCGCCACAAGTTCTGCCAGCATTTCGGAATCCTCGTCGGCCAGCAGCACTGCCCTTTCAAGCACCGCTAGCAGCTCTGATATCTCATCTTCGATTGGCAGTTCCACTATATCAAGTTCCGCGACGAGTTCTGATGTCTCATCCTTAGTTGTTAGCTCTACGGTTTCAAGCTCCACCAGTAGCTCTGATGTCTCATCATCGACTAGCAGCTCCGCCAGCAGTTCTGAGGTATCCTCGTCGGCTAGTAGTTCCATCATTTCAAGCTCCGCGAGCAGCTCTGCAGTATCATCATCGCCCAGCAGCTCTGTCATTTCCTCTACAGTTTCCTCGTCTGCTTTAACTTCTTCGTCTTCTTTCTCAGCAGTCGCCAACTCTACCATTTCTTCTACTGTGTCGTCTTCTACAGCCTCATCTACGGTATCAATTACTTCTTCATCCAGTTTCTCAGTTACGAGCACTGTCTCTGCGTTCAATAGCTCATCTACTGTCTCCTCCCTCAGCAGCACCGTCTCCAGCTTTAATAGCTCATCCTCTATCTCGGCGTCTGCTACGTCCTCATCGGCTTCAGCATCTGCGACTCCATCTTGTGCTGCCTCAAACTCAACTTCAAATTTGGTGGACAACGGCAGCTTCGAATCTAGCCTCACATACTGGGACGTGGAAGGTGCAAACAGCAATTGTACCATCAACTCGGTAACCACAAACCTTGGAAATGCCACGAGCTGCCACTGTGGAAGCAAGTGCCTCACGTGGGTCGCTAGTAGCATCACCACCACAACCACGTCATTCGCGAGACAACTTCTCGCCGCCAACATGCCCGTTGGATCCAATGTGAACTGTACAGCGTTCGTCAAGATCACCATGGGTTCGGCAACCGGAACTATCACGCCAACAGTTGAGATCAACAACTACCCAGTCCCACTTGTCAGTACTGCCAGCACCGGCTGGCAGTACTATCAAGGCACAGTGGCCATTGGAACGGCAAATCCGTTGGTTCAAGTGGCTGCTACGTACAACAATATTGTTGGTAATGCCACGATTCAGTTTGATGATATTTCTTGCGTCAAGATTTGAAAAGAGGGTTGAACAATTGATATCCATGATAGAAGCGCAATGGGAGTTGGACTATACCAAAGACAAATCTGTCTAATGTTTATTCTAGCCTTCTCCAATTAATAACAAATTTTATATGTGATCAAGACGCACTTGACACTCAAACAATCAACTCACGAAAAACAATGGCGTGTCCCCATCATCTTCGATGTCTCCTATATCCTACGCTTCATCGGATAGTATGCTACTTCGCATCTTAGTCGATAATCTGTCCTATTATTTGCCCATTCGATGGAAAGTACAGCACTATCTACCGAAACGTAGCACATGGGAGCCGTCAGAGACGAAATGGGCACGCCAGTGGCTTTGTGCATCATTTTATACTTTGAGATCTGCAACACTTTTGCTGTATGCTCGCACCATATGGCCCTCGTCCGACTTAACAGGGTCAGAAACATTCGCAATTGTTCGCGGTCATTCCCTATCATGTTGGAAAAGTGGTTTGGAAGAAATGGCTAAGTCTACATGGAAATGGCTCGAGTCGTGAGGTGAGCTGATATATATTTGCCAAGCAAGCATTTCTGGCTCACAACTTTCATAAAATTTGGTGTAAAGCAAAAACCAAAAATGCGCCCGGCTAGCGCAATGGTAGCGCGCAGGACTTCTATGAGCTGTTTTTGTTCATCCTGAGGCTGCGGGTTCGAGTCCCGTACGACCCTAACCCTGAATGCCAATATATTGCGCTAACAATAAGCAGGCGTCGGGTATCTTGAAAACTTGAATCAATCCTTTTTTTTTTGGATGATCTGGCGTTGAGGGGCGCCAGGAAAGTGCAGTGCATGGCTTCCCACGTGTATTATTTTGGCAGGAACGAGTTTCGCCACGTGCATAGAAGTAAAAATCATTGATCGACGATAACAACCTTACCTGGCATTTTCTAGCTTTTTGCTACCAACTGATGGACCAAATGACTGGCGTTCTCCCATCAGCGTCGATGGCTCACACGACCGATATTAATTAGAAGGTGTTATATTTCCTATCGCATTTCATGAAATGTCCATACCTGAACGCGCTTGATGATAAAACACTCGATAGCAGATCGTCTTGTATGGGAGCTATCGCACTCGCTGGGAGCGCGCCATTTATTTGACCATTTGGCTGTATTGCCAAGGCACAACGGCATGGTAAATTAAATGGCATATTCCCATCAATTCTAATGGCTACCACCAGCGCTGCTAAACAAAAGGTGCTTCACTTCCCATCGTATTCGATAATCTGATGTATATTCTACGATGCCGATGGAAAACAAGGCGATTACTCTTTAAGAAGTGTTATGGCAGCCATCTTTATCGATGGAGTCGTTGAAATGGCTCTCTGATTTTGTCCCTGAAGATGTCACCATTTGATATTGATCATAATAGCATTGACCAGGGTCTACGTCCTTATAGTAATCGGTGGGAATCCCACAGGATCAGATAAGTCACTGCCTATTAGACATTGTGAAGATCATGGCTTCGTAGTACTGGACGAAATGACCAGCGGATCCGTTGTTCCTATTGTAAGCTGTTGGCACGCATTGCAGTCAGTACGAAACAACCGTGTCGAAAAGTCGATTCCTCGACCCCTTTTTATTTTATTTCATCTAGTCTTCAAACATCGACGCTTCACTACAATAGACTCGGAATGGAAAAGCAAGTGTTGAAAGCCTGCTTGTTTGTTCTTGTTGGAAAAGTAGGTGTTAAAGCCCGGCCATTAGTTCTTGATGAAAAGGCATATGTTTGCAGATCTGCCAATTTGTTCCTGTTGAAAAGACTTCGCTTGAAAGCATAGCCAAAGAATGATGTCGAGGTCTGTCTGAATGTGCTCTTTTGAATAGAAGTGGTGTTAGTAGTGTGCTTGGCCTGGCATCTTGGAAGATGTGACTGGTATTGACGGTTTGATCCATCTGGCATCTGGCATCTGGCAACATTTGACGTGACTGTTATTGACTCTGCTGGAACATATCGGTTTTGGAACAATGTTCAACGCCATGTTAGGCGGATGTTGCTCTTGTGCGATTGCACAAATGCCTCTTTGCTAGACAAACCCAATGTGGGCTGAAGGATATATGTTCCTTTTCTTCTAGAGGAGAAGACACTCAGATTGAGCAGAAGCCTGGGTATCAGACCGTTTGTAATTTGTGACTGATCAGTCGGTCTACCTTACTGACAGCAGTTATGCTGCCAGAAAGACATCGTAGCATGATCAGGAGCGGCGTTCCTTGAATGGAGCAAAGACCTGTTTCCAGAGATCATGGTTCTCGCCGATGGCATAGGTGAGGTCGAGTTCGGCCAGTGTTTTATTTTTTGGAAGCATTTCGAGCTGGCTGACAAGATTCTCTAATCCAAAAGCTTTGCCGACTGCTTGGGTCGCTCCAGCTTCAAGCTGGCAATGGACGACGTGGATATGGAAGTGGTAATATGTTGGTTGGTCTGACCCCGATTAATATCAAGTTTGATCATGGAGGGGGCTGCAACTTACAATGAACATACAACTTTAGTTCATCCGCCTCAATGTCCGGATACAACTTCGTAGTATGCAAAACCAACTGCTCACGCATATGCTTCAACCAAGGAATATGCTCATGTTTCAAGTCGCGCAGACTCCAGATATCTCGTCTCACGACAATACCCAACAGATGCAGTCCAGTCAAGGTTCGACGGTCCCAATTGAGGTCAGGCATCAGCAGGAAGCCATCCACTTCATCAGCATCTTTATAGATGATATCGTCCTGCTCTTTTCGACCTTCAAGAATATTGAACACCCAGTTCAGACGACCTGCATCGCGCTGAGCAGCCATATACGGACGGACCTTATCCGCATAGATAGCAGCGGTCTCCGTCACCATGCGGACGCGTTGAGGCGTGTACTTGGCAATGTGTTTGTCGGTGCAAGGATAGATCAAGTTGATCTTTAGATCAGGTGGCATATCAGCACCGCTTTTGCCTAGAAACCAGGCATAAATGTCATTGGTGCTCAACGTGGTGAGCTTGGCAAGCGTTGAGGTCAGATTTTTGAGCGTTTCTGCGTCAGATGGGAATGCAGTGCGCTCCACGAGGACCAAACCAGGTTGACCATCGATGGTGCCTAGAAGCACGACGCGTCTGGCGCCAGGATCTGGAATTGAAGTCAGAATTTGTTGATGTCAAAAAATAATCTGTTGAAAAGCTACCGTGAAAAAGCACCTTTTGAAGCTCGAATTTCGGGATGAAGGCCGCAACGCGGTCAGCGTCTGACGTTTCCACCATGTCCAGATCCTGTCTTCACTATTTCGATCTAGAGCTTGTTATATCTGTTTCCGAGTCGAATGTGTGTCTTAGTCTACTTGTAGTTGACGATATGGTGAAGATTGTGCGAAGGGCTTAAGCGTTGAAGAGGGAGGAGGAAGCAGAGCAGAATTTATCCAGGAGCTGTGGTGACAGCAGACGGCTGGCTGCATGTGCGGCAAAAGCATCAAACAGGAGCATGAAAGCGCAACGAGATACAAATATCCTAACAATAGACTTCAGACAAGTTTCATGAAATATCCATAGTTAAATACATGCTGTTAAACTAGCTTCGTTCAGTTCCATACTCATGACAAGTCCCTATAGCACATTTATCCCCAGTATCCCAACGCCTAAACACCATACAATAAATCGTCACCAACAGTCGATCAAATGAGAATCTCCATCAAATCTCAATATCTTCCCTCCCATCATCACCACCCACCTTCTCCTTAATCTTCTCCCTCTCCTTAAGCTTCTCCGCCACTTTCTCCTTCAACTCCGTATCCGTCACCAACTCATCAGCCCCAACAACCTTAACCCGCGGCGTCAACAACGGCTCCTTCAAATAATCCTCCACGTCCTTATCCAACTCCTTCCACTCACTCGCCCTCTGAGGCGATCGATACTCCGCTGGCTGTGCACCAGCAACTTCTGAATCTCCACTTTTACCGTTGCCCTCTTTGGGCAGAGGAATCCAGTTCTCTTCCACGCCCTTCCAGCAGAAGAGATCTGCGGCACTACCAGGTACGATTTTGCGCATCATGCCTTCACGGGAGGGCGAACCACGACAGCCGCCGAGTTCTTGGCGGAAGTTCTCGGCTTCTGCTGCTGTCCGGCGCGCCGCTTCGCTAACTTCGATGAGGCTGCCGTCCCAGGCGTAGTGCGGGATGCTGAACATGCTTGGTTCTGGGCCACGGAAGGGCAGTGTGTGGAGGAGAGGTTGGAAAGCGCGTTCGGAGGTTATGGGGTTGGATTGTTTGAGAGGTGTAGTTTTCTTGATTGAGAAGTCTGCATCGTCAGGCGGGAGGAAGGGATCTGTGAAGACGCTGGGTATGTCCGCAGCGACGGGCTTGGGATCTGGTCTGGCGCTGCGTTTGTGGAAGACGCGGGTTTTCTTGGGCATGGAGTATTCGTCTGGTCGCTGCTCAATGTCGTGGTGTATAACGGCGAAGGCGTCGTGTGGGGTGAGAGCGCCGGGGTAGAAGAAAGTGTAGCCGCGAGCGCGCATGAATTCGAGGGCGTATTCGGTCCAAGCGGGGAGATGGTCGCTGACGAGCTTTTTGCGTGGTTGAGGATGTGGATCGGAGTGAAATTTGGCTAGTCGGAGAGATAGGAAGGAGTGGAGTTCTACCCAGGCTGAGCCAAAGTACAGAGCAGCATTGGGATTGGGAGCTTCCCATAGGAAGTGTGGTCGGATGGTCTTTGAGGTCGGCTTGCTTTCTTCTTGCGTTGTTAAATCTAATGCCGTGATATCTGGAACTTGGAACTCTTGGGAGCCATTGAGATACACACTCGGTATATCCAAAGCGATGCCCATCAATGGTGGATCCAAGACCGGAAATTGTGTATGTTTTAGCTTGAGCAAGTAGTATCGAAGTTGTTGATAATATAAGGGCGAGATGTAGGTATTTGGTGAGAGAAGGAGTACGTGGGATCGTTCAGGATCGTAAGGATAAAATGATTCCATAAATCGTACCGATGCCTCCTCTTGGGACATGCTTCGAATGGGTAACCTTCGTCTTATATTTAGCTGTGATTGTTGACTTGACAAGAGGCCTGGTGGCCATTTAAAATCTTTGAGATACGATTGAACCATAAGATCTGGTTCAGATGGCAATTCGATAGTAAGACGAGGTGGCTTCGTGCCAGTATAGTCGGCTTTGCTTAACGAGTCGAGTAGCTTGATCAATGGGCCAGATGAGCCGGTCGGGGCCTGAACGACTATTTCGATATCGGCCACAGTCCAAGAATTCAGCGCCTTGGTATCTAATCTAGCAATCCAGCCTAGACTGTCATCAGGGTGAGCTGCGCCAACTTTCCAGCCCTGCTCTGGTACCTGGATGACTGGTATATTGTATTCCTTGGCCTTGGCTGCGATGGCGGTTGTGAAATAGTCGTCTTCAGCATCGGGAGAATGAGTGATTAGAGCTTGAGGATGCATATAGTCCTGGATGTACTTCAGGGCACTTGATACGCTGGAAGCTGCTCTTAGATCGGAACTATAAGGGGCAAAGTCTGGCCTGGCATCATGGAAAAGCACACGACAGCTCTTGTCTATGCCATTGATTTGAAGAATCTCGTCGATACTCATATCATTACGACCCATGAATGCCATGTGTACTCGGGTAGTTCCACGTTTTGCCATATCGCAAGCAACCGGTATAAGATTCGCCGCAGATTGTAAATTCG